TTATCTTTCGACATTTTTATTCTAGATAAAATATGCTTTCCAATAGAAAAAGAAAATTCAAGAGTGCTACAACTAAAACCATTTAGATGAACTTTTACTAATGTCGCGTCAAAAGTTTGAGACAGAGACCGTAAAGCATGAAGGCTATCGTTTTGACTACCCATTAAGATGGCTAAGGAGACCCATCGTCACAAAAGCTATTGGCTTTCGTAGAATGACTAGTTTGTCTGTAGAAGATAAAAGTTTTCCATTTATTGTAAGGTTTCATATAGATTATATATCTGAAGGGAAACGAAAAATGTGGGAAGAAATTGAGCTAATACAAGTTGACCTTTCATCTTCTCTACAGACTGCGTTAAAAAATATAGAAGATAAAATAAATTCATGTTATGCAAAATATGCTGATGAATATGCAAATACCGAGAGCACACTTTATGTGAGAATTGTATATGACAAACAAAATTCACAAGTGTCATTTCAAATCTACGAAGACAATCCAAAGAAAGACGAACAAATATATACAGAATTCACTGCAATGTCATGGTATTATTTGCAAAGAATGTTAAATCAGAAAGTCGAACTTCCTTTAGCAAATATTTACAGTCGATATGCAAGAGATGAACCATATTTATTTAAAGATGTTTTCGACTCAGATGCTATTATTGTTCATGCTTCATTTTCTGGCGCACAAAACTCTTTTTTATGCTTGGCAAATGACTTTTACGAAAAACCTACAAAGCTATATGAACCACCGAGTGGAAGTATTTCGGATTTTCAAGTATGGTTTACAACAGATGGAAGAAAGAGAATAGTTCCATTATACCACGCGTTTTACTTAGAACTTAGTTTCATATACAACTACTATCGAACGGTAAAAATATAATTTTTTAATACGGTTGAGGTGTTGGATTTGGTTGCCAACTAGACTGTGGTGCAGGTTCAGGCTGTTGTATAACAGGAGCTTGCTCTTCTGGTTCAGGGTCTTTAGGTATAATACCAACGAACTGACCTACTCTTTTGCCAATATTTTTGACTCCGTTCCAAATTCCTCTTCCGACGGTTTTTATTCCATTCCATATACCTCTTCCAACATTTCGAAAGAAGTTTCCTATTCTTCCAAAGAAACCCATTTTACTATATGTAAAAATCTAATGTCCACCTAGTCTCTTACGTTTCCTTCTGAGTTCCATAGCATTCTTTAACTGGAGCTCATACATTCTATTTCTCCTCTGGTAGAAAACATACTCTGGGTCAACTCCTGTGTTCGCGTCATCTGCATAAAGTTGTTTATATCCCACTTCAGGGTTTGTATAAAACTCTTTCCATCTCATATTTGCATACCATGGTGGCAAACCTAACGCAGCGTCATTTGACATGGCAGTTTGCATTTGTACATCTGTTGGCACTTGACCATAGTTTGCCATTGCAGTTTGTATTCTAACTTCATTTGGAATATTCTCTGGGTTTGGTTGTCCAGGTTGCTGTGCATTCGCTAAGTTCTGTGCGTCCATTTAATATTAGATAAAAATATCTCTTACGAGTACATATACTGAACATTTGCAGGCATTGGTTCATCTTCATATTCTCTGTACTTTTCTGCCACGTCAAAGAAATAAATGACACAATGGAAAAAACCTAAAACAAGTAGTCCTATTTCAAACCACATTTACTTACTAATAAAATTTCTTTGTTATGACACTTTCTCCAGTTTATAGGACCTCTCTCATATTCTATCTTGTCATATATAAACTCATAGTCATGTATGTCCTCTAACCATCTCATAACGGTTTCCAAACCACTTTTATCGGATGTAAAGTAAAAGCATGGATGGTTATGTAAAACGTCTAAAGTTTCTAAAGAGTCTCTCAAAGTCCAGTCTACTTGGTATTGAAAATCCCATGTGTTATAGAACGGCGGGTCCACTATAAAGAAAACATTTTCCTTGTCTTTATATTTTTCATACAACTCTGTCCAATGACATCTCACAAACTCTATACCCTCAATATATTTTTCTATGTCCTCTTTGAAAACATTTGTATAGTTAAGATATAAAACTTTTGACATAAGTGTTTCAATGTCATGAACTCTTATAGCACCACTATATAATAGTCTAGCAGATATACTATCCCAGTCTATATATTCTGCTTTTTTCAAAACCTCTCTCACAATATTTTTCTTATCTAATGGTATACGTTCCATCTTACCTATAGGTATCTTTTCTTTTAACTCTTTCAATATATTGTTTGTGTCTGGAATATGTTTGAGACGGTCCATATAGTTGTCGAAGTCATTGCATATAATCTTTGAGTCTGGGAATATTATATGGCACAAATGGGATATATAGAAACTTCCACCGAACAAATCTACAAATGTTAGACCATTCGGTAGTTTCTTAAGTTCTCTCAATAGAATATCTTTACATCTACTCTTATTTCCAAAGAAGGGTAACGGTGGTTTTGTAAAATTCATTTATATATATATAAAAATGTTTTTTCCCTGAAAAGTGACAGAAAAGTGACAAAACATGAAAACATATATAATTTGTGAAAAGCGACACATTATATAATGTTTTCGACCCAGAAGAAGGCTTCTTCCCAGAAGCAATGGAGGAAGAAGAAGAGTCCTCCGAATTCACACCAGAAGACTAACAATTTTCCGAATAAAAACTTCATTTATACTAAACATCTTCAGGGCTAGAGGGCACGAAGTGCCTGGAAGCCCCGCTACCTTTTTTTTTTTTTTTTTTTTTAATTAGCATCACTGTGTTATTTAACATCCATGATCTTACTCAAAATTTATAAATTATTTCCGAAATCTTTGCAGTCATTGTTTTCCATAGGTATAACATTGTATTTTTTTCTCCTAATGAATTTTAAAGAAATTTTATGATAAAATTCAAATAGGTGGTAAATTCACTGAATGTATGGTAAATTTAAAATTTTTGATGTCTGATCAAGACATTCATCAAAATAAATACAGTGAATTGCGAAATATCTGTAAACATCACATCGATGCATACAATACGTTGTATCAGCTAAAAACTGAAAAAGAAGAAGATTTAAACTCAATTTACAAAATGATCAAAACAGAATTGATTGAATCAATGAAATTTCTTCCCCAAAAACTAATGAAAGATATTTTAGATATCATTCCGTATAATAATCGCTATACAAAGTCATATTTATTTCTTGTCAAACTCATATCTGATGAATATCATATCAAAGAGGTCAAAAACATTCCAACTATTTCTAACTTCTTGTTTTACAAAGAATATGGAATTAAATTAGACAAATCTGATGAATTCGAAGAAATTAACTCAGAAAATCTGGATATTTATACAACAAATACAATTTACAGAGCAATTATGAATAACGACAAAGAGAGATTCATCTTTTTCATTGAAAGTGAAGGATTTTATGAAGATCAAACACTAAAGAGCAAGTTATATCCATTCACTGGAAAAGATGGCTATTCATTACTTGAATTATGCTGTTACCACGGAGCAGTTGATTGCTTCAAGTTATTAAGAACGAAATTTCATTCAAAAATAACTTATCAATGCCTACTTCTTTCATTTTTAGGAAGAAATCCAGAAATCATGAATGAATGTTTGAAACATCAAAAGCCAGAAGAAGCATGCATGGAATATGCAATTATTTCACACAACATTGATTTTGTTACATTCTTGATGAATGAGTACAAAATAAATATCAATTTAGATTATTGTGAATGGTATAATAATCTTGAATCATTTTTAATTTGTTTCGATCAAACTAATGATGTTGACAAATGCTATATGAATTCGACAATGTTTAATATTCCATCTATTTGTGAATATTTCCTTTTATATGGTGCAAATATCAATGAAAAAGATAATAATGGAAACACCACTCTTCATTACGCAGCACAAAAGAATAGTAAAGAAATTTTCGAATTTCTTATTTCACATGGAGCAAATATCAATAATAAAACTAACAATGGAAACACTGCTCTTCATATTGCAGCAGATTATAAGAATATAGAAATTGCCGAACTTATTATTTCACATGGCGCAAATGTCAATGAAAAAAATAATAATGCGAAAACCGCTCTTCATTATGCAGCACGTAAAAATAGTAAAGAAACAACCAAACTTCTTATTTCTTATGGCGCAAATATTAATGAAAAAGCTAACAATGGGAAGACTGCTCTTCATTATGCAGCATGTCATAATAGTGCAGAAACAGCCGAACTTCTTATTTCACATGGTGCAGATATCAATGAAAAAGATAATAATGGTGATACAGCTTTTCATATTGCAGCACAAAATAATAGCAAAGAAACTGCCAAATTTCTGATTTCACACGGGGCAAATATCAATATAAAAAATAAAGATGGAGATGCCGCTCTTCATATTGCGGCAATTAGAAACAATGAAAAAAATTGTCATGCTTCTTATTTCATATGATGCAAATATTAATGAAAAAGATAAATATGGACAAACCCCTCTTCATGTTGCAGCACTTATGAATAGTAAAGAAACAGTCGAAATTCTTATTTCACATGGTATAAATATCAATGAAAAAGATAATAATGGAGAAACAGCTCTTCATTATGCAGCACTTATGAATAGTAAAGAAATAGCCATACTTCTTATTTTACATGGTATAAATATAGGGTGTCCAAAGGTGTGTTTAGCACAAACCTGAATACTGCGAATAGAAATAAACAAGTTACATATATATAAAGTTTATTTAAATATAATCACCATTGGATTCAATCACGCGTTCGCAGCGATCGATCCAGGCTTGAAAGACATGCTTTAAATCATCATGAGAAAATTGCTCAAATTGCTCTCTTACAAAATTTTCAAGATCATCTGGACTCGCGAATTCGCGTCTTTCAGCTCTCTTTTTTAGCGTGCCGAATAAATAAAAGTCAGAGGGTGCAATATCAGGTGAATAAATTGGGTTTGGAACAACTTTGACATTGTTTTCCACCAAGTAATTCATTACCTTATGACTTTTGTGAACTCTTGAATTATCAAAATGAATTGCAAACTTTTGTTTTTGTTGTTTGGATTTCTCAAACTCATCAGAATTGATAATTTGAGTAAGAACATTGTCAATTAGATACTGAGCATTCATCGTATTAGGTTTTTGAAGAATATCAATTGCGATGATGCCATTCACGCCCCAAAAAACCGACAACATCATCATTGGTGTGTCAATTTTTTTCTTCGGGAATGTTTGCGGATTTTCATCCTTCGGGATCCACATGATTTTGGCTTCTGTTGCATATTGAAACCAAGACTCGTCCCCTGTTGCTAAAAAGCGAAACTTCTTGGATTGATACGCACCCAATATAGAGAGGAGCTCTTTCGAAGATTGGACTCTAGATTTTTTTTGAACTGAATTAAGGTTGTGCGGAACCCAACGTGTATACGCTAGTTTATAGTTCAAATAATTGTGCAGATAATAACTGACTGTTGTACGTGGTATCTTTGTCATCTCCTCTATCCTTCTGAGTGATGCTCTTGGGTCTTCATCTAGCGCTTGAAGAATTGCTTTGATTTTTCTTTGATCCGGCAATTTTTTGTCAATTTTTATGATGGGCGCCTTTTTGTTCATGAAGTGATACATCCTAACATGATACGTTACAGTGGAATAGCTAGGAGCATCCATACCGAAGCATTTTACCAATGTCTCGTAGATTTTTTTACAGTCTTTGCATTTTTTTGCAAGAGCGAGGATGTTTTCTTTATGATTCATTAAAAAAATGAAAAAAATCCCGCCAAAATTTCCCGCGAAACCGCCTCTTCTCTCAAAATTCATTTTATATCCCGGCATGGCGCCAAAATACAACATACTCATCATATACATATATTCATATTTTTTATTATATATTTATAATCAGCATATATCTCCTTTAATAGTCTCATATAGAGCGCTGTGCTAAACGCACCTTTGGACACCCTATATTAATGAAAAAGATAATAATGGAGATATCGCTCTTCATATTGCAGCATTTAATAATAGTAAAGAAACAGTCGAAATTCTTATTTCACATGGTATAAATATCAATGAAAAAGATAATAATGGAGAAACAGCTCTTCATTATGCAGCACTTATGAATAGTAAAGAAATAGCCATACTTCTTATTTTACATGGTATAAATATTAATGAAAAAGATAATAATGGAGATATCGCTCTTCATATTGCAGCACTTATGAATAGTAAAGAAATAGCCATACTTCTTATTTCACATGGTGCAAATATCAATGAAAAAAATAATAATGGAGTAACTGTTCTTCATTCTGCAGCATTTAATAATAGTAAAGAAACAGTTGAACTTCTTATTTCACATGGTGCAAATATCAATGAAAAAGATAATAATGGAGATACCGCTCTTCATTATGCAGCATCTTGTGATAGTAAAGAAACAGCTGAAATTCTTATTTCATATGGTATTAATATCAATGAAACGGATAAATATGGAGACACCGCTCTTCATACTGCAGCATATCATAATAGTAAAGAAACAGCTGAATTTCTTATTTCACATGGTGCAAATATCAATGAAAAAAAATAATAAAGAGAGAAATATTCTTCATGCTGCAGCATGTTATAATAGTGCAGAAACAGCCGAAATTCTTATTTTACATGGTGCAAATATCAATGAAAAAGATAATAATGGAGAAACCGCTCTTCATGTTGCAGCATCTTGTAACAGTAAAGAAATAGTCCAATTTCTTATTTCACATGGTGCAAATATCAATGAAAAAGATAAATATAGGCACAACGCTCTTTTTATTGCCATGATTAATGATAGTAAAGAAACATTTGAACTTCTTATTTCACATGGTGCAAATATCAATGATATACTTTATGTATTGGTATCTTTTTGAGTAAATCATATAAAATAAATCAAGAAAATTGGCTGGTTAGATTCAGTAAATCAAACAATTGGATAAAACAGTTAGTATACATATCAAGTGTACGGAGGCACTGCGCGCCACCTTACCCCTGATATGTGAATTTGACACTTTACGAAACCGTTAACGTATATTTTACAACACTAACGACTTCACTAACATTTTCACTAACATTTTCACTAACGACTTCACTACTGTAAAAATAAACGTTCTCACTAACGTTCCCACTAATGTTCTCATTTACAAAAGTATTGCAGCGCTTCCCATTGCTGTGCTTCACACAATAGTTCATATTCTTCAGTATCGCTGCTGTCACTCCAATCGTCAGAGTCAAAGTCACTGTCAAAATAAATGTTAGTAAGTTTTGACAAAGCTAATGAAACACGCTTACCGTTTGTATCTATTGCTTTTATATATCTCCCATTATGTTTGTTGTCATAAACGCTCAAACTAACTTTACCCTTTCTCCCTCGTATCTGATAGAATGTATTTTCACGAGGAACGAAGAACAAATTCTTGAACTCATGACCGTTGTAGTTTGTTATCTCAATAGTTTTCGTCATTTATATAAAAATAAAATAAAAAATAAACTTAAAAATTAATGATATCACCACTCCCACACGTATGAAAACATCCATTTAAATTTAGGGTAGAAGGTTAGATCTAACCTCATTTCTACCCTCATTTCTACCCTGTTGAATTCATTGCTTTATAACTCTCTTCCTTTCTCCAACTCTTCTAACTTCTTCCTAAGTTCAGCAATGTTGTCCTCATGAAGTTTAATCTTCCTTAATATACCTTCTTTATCTAATGGTTGCTTTATCTTTCTAAACTGAACTCTACCATCCTTCATAGTATGAATGTAAAAACCTTCTGGAATAGTTCCTGATTTAATGTATTCTACCAAAAACTTTTGTTTCATTGCTTCAGTGACTTTAGTCGTCATTTCAATCAAATAAAAATTTTAATATTAAATAAAAATAACGTTATTTTTTCAGTAAGGAAACGCAGGAGTTTTACGATTTATTTGAGGAGTAGGTTCTGGTTTAAATGTTGGAGTCGGTTTAGGAGTTGACTTTTGAACAGGAGTTTGTACTTCCATAGGTTCAGGAGTCATTGAAGGTTTTGCTTGTGAAGGCGTTGGTTTTGGCGAAGGTGTTGGAGTTTGTTTAACTTCAGCTACTTCAGTATTATTTACAACATTTGCTTTATTTCTTTTCAACATCATAACTGCTCCTGCTGTAGCTAGCAAACCTAGTGGGAGACCATATTTTATATAAGGACTTGACCAAATGCTATTTTTGACAGGAGCTGGTGGAACACCTAACCTTGGTGAGACTGCTCTTTGCCATTGTGCAGCTCGTAAGAAATATTCAATAGGTGCTCCATAATCGTTTGGTAAAGTTTGTTTCATAGATGGTGAAGGTTCACGAGAGCTTGATGAAGAACTCATTTATAAGCTTTAAAAATAAACGTTCATCCTTTATTCCTCACTGTCGTCCGTAGCTAAGTTATAGTCATCTAATCTTATTATGGGGATGCCATTAGCACGCACCTGAATGGCAAAGCAACAATCCCTCATAAATCCAATAAGTGGCTTGGTACATTTTCAGTTGCTAGTTCAATAGGTCCTTTAACAGACAATTTGTATGTTATTGGAGCAGTAGATGTTTGACCTTGCTGGAAGCAAAAGTCCACTTCTGTTGGAAAACCACATAAGAAATGTGTGTTGTCATAGCTATCCCATTTATGTTCCACACTACCATCATCCACCAATGACCTCATAACATCTTCATTAAATCCTATCATATCATTGTTTGTATTGCAGGCGTTCGCAACCATTTCATAAAATACAGGTCCATATGATTTTTCAGGTTTGCAGGCATATTTCCATAAGCTCCCATGGAAAGCTGAAGATATTTAAACTTAGGGTTCTCAAAATTAACATAATAGTTGTCTTTCTTTCTAAATAGTGCCCAAATACTTTTAACATTAATAGGCGTATAAGCTGCTGTAAATGTTGCACTTGAACTATCTGTATTCTTTGAGAATGAACCGTCCATAGGAATCCAATCCATAACTTTAACAGGAAAACATAAAGCCTCGTTTGTATAATGTTCTACAAGTTCTGTATAAATGTTAGGGTCTAAAGAGAATGACTTTGGATGAATAAAACATTCATTAAAATCCATCTTTGTTCGAAATAGTTGCTGGGTTACAGTTGTAATAGTAACTGTTCCATTAGCTTCTACTGCCTTCGTTATCATAGTGAATGGTTCATTCCATGGAACAAATTTATTTGTCGGTGGATTTGAATCTGAAGCAAATGCAACTTTAAGAGTTGGATTGAAAGCAATGATATCATTTACAGATATAGATGTGCATTGTAAGGCGTCGCTACTGAACTTTACTTTAAGCTGAATGTTTCCTGCAAAAGCTGGAATAAATCGAATAGCTTCTAATGGAAGGAATCTTCTAACAGGAATTCTTAAACGAAGCTTAAAATCAAATGATTTTCCTGCTGTAATTGGACCACTAACAATTTGTCCTGTTCTGCATGTTCCCGAATGACTCCATACATCTTCATGTCGAGTCTTTGAGAAAACATCTACTTTCTTTATTTGTTCGGTAGTTTGTGAGTTTGAAGTTATATATGCTTCTTCTCTTGCGTTGTCTTGAGAATATACGATACGACCATTTGCAAGGATTTGATATCCAGCAACTGCATAGAAAGCGTCATCGAAACCAATCCAAAATCCTGGTGGGTTTTTTTATTGGAACCTGAACCAATTTCTTTATCTACAATAAATTGACCTTCCATTTTATACGTAATGAATGTATTGTAAAGGTCCAACATATTTTCACCAGGAGGTGAGAGATTGAATGTTACCCATGTGTTATCTTTAGCAGTTCCAGGTTGTGATGGAATCTTTGCGTCAGAATATTTTCTATTAGTGTCACCAATTTGAACTGCATTGTCTATGATATCGAAATATGAGCGAATCTGATGAATATGCTCTGCTGGAGTAAATTCGTTTAACTGTTCGTTCTGCATGTATTTACTTCGGATAAAAATATCTATTTACTTCATTATTCTCACTCTTCTTCTTGGCATTCGTGGTGGAAGTTGTTTCTTGACATTTTCAATGAACTGTACATTCTCTTTTGTCTCAACTTCTTTCACTGGTGGGTCAGGGTTCTTTGACTCGGTTTGTTTTTCAATGAAATTCACAAACTTTGCAATAAGCTCTTGGTTCGTTATTGAAAGTACATCTGGCTTCTTTTCTTCTGGTTCTTTTGGTGGCTCAGTTTGAACAGAAGGTTTTATATGGGCTTCGTGGGCTTCGCCCTTGCCATGCACCTTAATGTTGTCGCTCTCTGCATTCGCTAATGGAACCTTTCTTTTTCTTACGTATATTTTACCATCTTTACTCTGACTTACGTAATAGAAAGGATGTTGTATTCCTCTTGCGTCATTTAATATAATAGACTCTCGCTCTGATTTTGACAAGCTCATTTTACATCGGTTAAAGTTTTAATTTTGTTTTTTATCTGCAGTCAAATGACTCAGACAAGCCCTACGGACAAGACCCAAGGGGTCATAGATGTTGAAGCATTGAAGAAAGAAATTCGCGAGCAAATTTTATCCGAACTGAAGGAACAAAAACAAGAACAAAAGCCAGAGAAACCAAAGAGAAAACTTAGTGAAAAACAACTAGCTGCATTAGCTGCTGGAAGACAAAAGAACCCACGTTTGCTGGCGAAGAAAGCTAGAGAAGAAGCAAAAGCTAAGGAAGAACAAAAAGCTAAAGAAGCTGAAGCAAAGAAAGAGTAAATGGTTTATTTTTATCCGAATTAAATGTATAGACAAATACCTTTATCTGTTGCGTTCAGTAGTGAAAACCCTGACGTCAAAATAAAGGGGAACAGAGTAACGTTTAAGTTTCCAACAGACTGGATTGTGAACATAAATGAAGAGAAGTACATTGGCATAACATCTATGTATATAACACGTGCATTTAGGAAAGTTGACTTTATACTTCAAGTCGAGATAGAAAATGACGAACAGTCTTTAAGCGCCCAAAACATTCACATATACAAATACTTTAAAGACGATACAACATTGTTGCAATGTATGATTTCATTTAATGAGATGTTCGAGAAAAAGTTCAACATTGAAGTACAAACTTTACAGCCTTTACGTGAGTTTCTTGCACAACTGAAAGAAGAAGGTAGTCGGCCACAACTTATAGACTTTCATTATGAATTTAATGAAAATGAAGATGGAACTCATGACTGTCAATTCATTGTATTCTCGCCATTCAATGAAGTAGCTAAAAAGAAAAAAATCCACTACGTATAAGATTTCAAATCTCTGAATCCAATGAAGACTTCAAGAATGTTTTCAATTATGATGCAATGCTTCCGAGGAAAAATGAATTTTCAAAGATTGTAACACCTGGCATTTGGGATAGAAAGCAAGCTATATTATATTCAAACTTAAGTAAGGAGTTGAAAATGAGTTCATTGGTCATACAAGAACTTCACCACTTCCTAACCCTAAATACTATAAATTAACTGGCTTCAATCGTGAGTTTTGGATAGACATGTTCTCCACTCATGACCATAACTGCCCAGTGTTCTTACCTCCAGACCA